AATCTTTCTGGTTTATCTCCAATGAAATTACGTGTTAGTCCAACGCAGCACCCAGGGTTTGTTTCTAATCTTCCACAAATGATCTTCTCAGTACTTCCAGGAATCCTCACTGGGGTTGTGGCCAAGATCTTAACGGCAACGGATTCTTCTTGTGTTGTTAGGACAATTTCTTCATTACCAAATTTAAGGATGTTCATGGAAGGATCAAAAGAGAAACCATGTTGGCCGATCAAATCCATTCCCAAAATAAAATCATCTTCTATATCGGCGACTAATGTTCTGTGCCTGAAAGTGGTAGATCCAAAAGTGAGCTCAACCATAGCTTCTCCTTGAACTGGTGCAGATTCGCCGGTGACTGTTCGTAGTGACAGGTTTCTAGTGAGCGGTTGGATTGCCCGACACTTGATTAATGTTCTTCTAATTATGGAAACTTCAGCACCCGTTTCAAAAGTGATGGTTTTCAATTCTCCATTGATTTGTCCTTCGAATTTTAATCCTCTATAATGACTGCCCAATGATTTTATGTACACAACTCTGGGGGCTTCATCATTACTAGCCAGCATCCTCCCTTCCGTACTAGTTGGTTCCTGTTTGTTATTAGGGCTGGCGTCTCTAGACCTTGAAAAGCGTTGAGAATGATCCCCAGATGGAAAGGACATCCTTAGTCTACAATCCCATTGCATGTGTCCAAGCTTTTGGCACCGGTAGCATTTCACTCGGTTTCTCGGTGTTGGTGTTTGTCTGGAATCATTCCCCATTTTTCTATCTTCTAGCAACAGTTTCTTTATTCTCTCCAAGAAATTACTCATTTTGGTTTCGAAGCTACCATCCTCTTTTGACAATTGTTTATCTTTTGGGTCTTCAATGGATACTGCTCGTACTCTGTGTCGTGAGGCACCATAGATTGCCTCCAGTTCCAATGCTCGGACAAGGGCTTCGCTACTTTGCCTGAACTTAGACATTCTCAAGTTTTCCTGGATTTTGGAATCTCTGATACCATCAGTGAACGCAGACACAGCCATCCATTCCTGCATGTCTTCCCCAGCTGCAGGAAACGCTAAACTCATTAGCCTTTTAACTGCCGATTCGAATTCTTGTAGATTCTCGCCGGGTTTTTGAACTCTTGATTTAACTTGAGTTCTGAATACTTCTTGTCTGTAATGGTCTCCGAAGCGCAATTCTAACGTCTGACTTAGATGATGGTAATTCTGTTGGTAGACTAAAGGAATGGACTGAAGAAGGTCTAAAGCAGGTCCTCGTAGCGCCACAATTAGTGCTGTAGCTTTCTCTTGGTCGTTCCATCCGTTGGTATTTGCAGCAGCTTCAAATTGTCGAATATACATGGTCCAGGACGTAGAACCGTCGAAAGTTGGTGGTTTCATCTTCATACTGGAGAATGCTCCAACACTAGCTGAATTGATGGACTGTATTTCTAATCTACGCATCTTATCTTCGAGTGCTTGAACTTGGTACTCAACTTCTTGTCTTAATTGCTGAACATCGGCTTTGACCTCAGCTTTTACTCCCTGAACGACGTGTTTAACTTCTCTTACGTCGTCTTTAACTTCTTGAGCATCGATTTTGACTTCAGTTTTTACTTCCTGGACGTCGTGTTTAACTTCTTCAATCTTCTGGTCTAGGTTAGCGACAGTTCCTTGTATGGTTTGGAATATCTTCTGCCGTTTTCCAAGGTCTTCTTGTCGTTCTTGTTGTCGCCTAGCTTCTTCTTGTCGTCTAGCTTCTTCTTCTTGTTTTTCTTTTTGTCGTCTGGCCTCTTCGTCTTGTTTTTTTTTGTTGTCGTTTAGCCTCTTCTTGTTGTCATCTAGCTTCTTCTTCTTGTTTTTCTTTTTGTCGTCTGGCCTCTTCGTCTTGTTTCTCTTGTTCTCGTTTAGCTTCTCCGTCTTGTTTTTCTTGTTGTCGTGTGGCTTCTTTGTCTTGTTTTTCTTGTTGTCGTCTGGCTTCTTCGTTTTGTTTTTCTTGTTGTCGTCTGGCTTCTTCGTCTTGTTTTTCTTGTCGTTTGGTCTCTTGAAGTTCCAACATTTTGCGCAGAAGTTCTTCAACTTTTTGTTCGTCCATTTTTGCTTGTTGTCTTGTGATAGGCATATACAGAACGTTCTAGAATTTCTCTCGAACTTTCTTCAAATAACTTTTCTGGTCTTTGCTCGAAGTTCCAAACACGCCGATGAAGTCACAAATTGGAAATCTCCCTTGGTTTCCAAATAGAATGTTCTAGAATTTTCCCGAAACTCCTCGTAAACCCTCTTCTGAATGACGATTGATGTTCCGAATACGTCGGCGAAGTCACAAATTCGATATCTCCCTTAGTTTCCAAATAGAATTTTCCAGAACTCACTCGAAGATTCACTACACAGTCAAAATCGGGTACAGAGTCACTTCCGGAGTAATTTACACCATCAGTTAAGTCTCTTTTTGTGATTGTCACTGTTTGCACTGAACTAACTGTCCCGATTATAGTAGAATAGTTCTTTAGATTCTAGGATATTCGACAATTCTTGACAGCCTGGCGGACGCCGTTATTGTAACAGTATAATGAAATGATTTTATAATTAGGTATGTAATGGGTTGGTTTGGTTTAATCCAGTCTTCCATTATTAATAGAAAATCTGGAAATTCGACATGCTCCACAAATAGCAACAATTCATCTGTTTTTTTATTTATAAAATAGAATAAGTCAATTACTCTTCCTCTTGATATTGTGTAAGCTGCATTATTTTTTAATGATAGTATCACTCTTTTATTTTTAATAATCCTGGTAAAATGGCAGGAATCTTGCCTGATTGGTGTGTTGTGTAGACACACCAATTTAGGTTCCATTCACCCCAGCTATTACAACCATGAAATCCTTGTGTTCAAAATCTTCAGATAGAGTTGTTTCGCATTCTCAGTTACTTGTGAGAAGTTTGCATTTGGCTTGCTTATTATCTGAGGGTTTCTAAATAGTTATTTATGATATAAGTGTTAAAAGTACATTTTTAAGGCACGCATGTGAAAGTTTGCAGAATGAGCGAAGCGAATTCTGCAATTCACATAAGTGCCTTAAAAATACTTTTAACACAAATATCATACAATATTTTTTCTACAAACGGCAATAAAAAGCAATAACCACTAACAAATTGGATTTTTAAATGAATAATAAATTGGAAGCATCTTTCCTACATAAAATTCTTGAATTTGACATTTGTCAAAAAATCCATACAACCAGCACCTTGTTTTATGGTAACGAAATGTCTTGTCAGTTTCTTGAAAGTATGTCGTGGTCAGGAATGCTTTTTGCTAAAAATGCAACAAAATACAGAAGAAAAAGAGAGTTGCATCGATCCTTCGAAAAATATAGATGAGGCGGCCAAACGGGCTACCTCAGTTGTTCAAATTTCACCATTATTATCAATGTAAATAACTGAAAATACAAACTTTTTTTGACTTCCGCTCTCAAAATTTGATGTTTCACTTTTAACACTAGTGCTATAAAGACTTTATGGCACTAGTGCGATAAAGTAACATTTTTAATGCTTCGGGGCGGTGTTAAAAATTGCATTTTTAACACGTTTGTAGAAAAAAGACTTTATAGAGGTTCCTTAAGGTTATGAAACAATTTAAAACATAGACAACATAGTTGTCTGTGAGTATCAGTATCTTATTCCTACAGTTTTTCACCTTAGTCATCTTTGGTTCACCTCAGTTTATTAGTATGACATGGTGTTCCCTTACTTGTACTTTTGTATGTCGCAATTCGCAATATCCTTCTTTAGTTGCTGCAGTAGGGATTCAAGCATATCATCATTTTTCTTCTTAAGATTTAGTATTTCCTTCCTTGAATAACGCTCTAGCCTCAAGTATCTATCTTCTATTTCATATTTCTTCTCTGCATTATAAGAGATTTGATCATTCAGCTTTTCAATAATATCCCCTTGGCTCTCACCACCTTTAATTTTAATCCTCATGTCCAGCAAGTCTTGTTTTAGTGCTATGATCTCCGCTTTACTTTTCTTTAATTCATTATTCTGATTGACCTCTATTTTTGTTAACTACTCCGTTTTCTTCCTGAGTATTTCTATTTCTTTCGTCATATTCCTTTTCTCTTTTTCAAATCGATATAATTGCTGCTATGCTTTTCAGATTCGCGATGTTCCATTTGCTCATATTCTACGACTGTTTGGTTTAGGGCTTGACTTTCTTGAGCTAGCGATAATATTTTTAGTTAGTTTGTCGAGCTTTTCAGTTCTCTTATTTCACTTTCCAATATATTCTCTGCCATAAGGACATCATCTTGAAAGTCAACAGCATTCTTTGGGTTTCTTTATCTTTTAAACCCTCTTTTAATTGATCTATTTGTTGTTGAAATTGTACTGTTATTTCTTCATTCTCAGCTTCCACCTCATTCAACATTGTACTCAGCTTCTTAATCTCATGACATATTTTTTCAATTTGTTCATCATTGCATATTTTATCAGCGCACGATTTACAAATAAAAGGCACTTGTTTTGACATTAGTGTAATAATATTGAACAGAAAGTTCGTGTGCACCCGGGCCACCCGGACTACATTGGCTTACAAATTTTATAGCTTTGTTTATAATAACTACCGACCTGAAGAGATAAGACTGCTAGCAAAAACATGCCAGCAGATAAAAATCTATTGGTATTTTATTTCAATAAGACTGAATACTATAAACAGTTTTCAAATTTACTGAAAAATGGTTTTGTTTTCACTCATGGAAGATTCAGCAGCAGAAAGTCTGCACTCTCACTTACACAACGATATTAAACCCATTAAAAAATGACAACTTTAAACTTGATAATTTTAAGATTCCAACGGAGCTTGATATAATAGAAGAGTTGGATATGATCGAAAAAAAAGTTATCTTCTTAATGCCTAATTTGCTGAGCATGGAAATATCTGTTTTTATAGTTTGTAGATTAAGAAATCAGCCACTTCAAATTGTGTGCTAAAATCTTTAAATTAAAAAAATCGCGACTTACCTGAAAGACATTCCAAAGTCTCAGCATTAGCCAAATTGATCTCGTCCAATAAAACCCAAGTTCCCTCCTGTATAGCCTTAACCAAACTGCCTTCAATGAAAGCAAAATACAGCGCATTTGCTTGCTTCAACTGCACCTGGACCTTCCTAAGTTTGTCATTGACATTTTGCCACCTTTGAAAGAAAACTTCATCTTTTTGCTTCTTTTCCAAATCTGCAGAGTTCTCTAGCAAATTTCCTAAACGCCTAAGCGCAGCTTGGGCACTCTTTTGCATAAATGCTACCAATTGTACGAACTTTTCTTTGTTATAAGCAAAAGCGATTTTATTTAAGAATTCTCTGTTTGATTCCACGTCGAAATAATCCCTAAAGACTGCTTCAAATTCTTTTTTGATGGGATTTATGATTATTTTCAAATCTACAGGTTTGAAGCCACCTAAAAGATCTGCCGAATCGGATTGCTGATTCATATTGATAACAATTAAATTTTTCCCTAGAGTGTGAGCCAAATATTGAACTGAAGATGTTTTTCCTGTGCCTGTTTCTCCTACCAATAGTACGGGCTCTTTCAAATTTACACAACACATAATGCGTTCTAATAGAATAGCTGCAGGTCGTGTGAAGCAAAATTTAGCTTGTTTAGAATAGGCAGAATGCTCTCTTAGCAAACTTATTCTGCCTGCAATTAATCGGTTTGATGTCAGCTTGGGCATTGGTTTGTAATTGTTGAAAAAATATTCAGCTTTCTGATTGATTATTCCCAATTGGGTGCTAATTTCTTTGGCTAATTCTAGTGCCTCTAGATTATTAGAAAAAGCACAACAAAACACGTCAATAGCATCTTGTAGAATTTTCAAAGCACTCTCCTGGCTTTTAACGTTGAAATCTATAGCAGCTCTAGAGCACCATTTGAAAAAGTCTCTTGTCGATATTAGCCGGCCTGACTTTCTAATCAATGAAGATTCGTTTTTATTGGTGTTGAAAAGTTCAAATACGCTGACGAGTTTGCTAGAAATTGTGTCGAATTGAGGATACTTTACGTGCAGGATTTGTATCAGTTCTGGGCTGGTCAACGGGTCAATGGTGATTTGTAAAAGTTGCTTCTCTAATAAATGCATGGCGTTTGAATGACGTTTGTGGTTGCCGGACATTGTAGTGATTAGTCTGGAAAAGAAAAAATGGAGGGTATATGAATCTGTTATGTTGGGTTCAGAGTACAAATAGAGACTTGCTGCTTGGTGGTTATGGTGCACAAGAAAGCACCACGACTTGAAAATTGATTTATTTTGAGTCTAGTTCAAAAATAACTAATCATTCGACATAAATGAATTGTTTTTGATAAAAGCCAAAACCAAACTAAGAACGGATTCAAATGATTTTCGAAACTCGCTAGAGTGCTTTACTATTACCAAAACAAAGCCTATTTTTCTTCATAATAACAAAATCTAGGTATCTAGCAATTCACAAAGTGTATCCTCTTAACACCTGTACCATGATTTTTAATCATATGGAAAATATTCTGATGAAATCTAGCTTATCATTGGCATTCACTCGCTAATGAGTATTATAAAAGGGATTTCTTTAATGATGAACTATGTAGACTGTATTTTGGAGGTTTCTTCTGAAAAATAAAAACTTCATAATAAAAAAATCTTACCTTTGGGTGACGATAAGTTGAAATCCTGGAGTAATTGGAACTAGATCTCGATAACCAGGAACAGTAAGAGCGTTATTTTCTAGTAAACTAGCTAGGACTGAGGCAATGTCCATACTGGCTAAATCTATGTCTTCTAGTAGCAACCAGCTTCCTTGTATAACAGCCTAAAAAATGATCAAGTTGATTAAATTGAAAAAATTAGGAGTTAAGCAAGGTTGGGATTGTTGGGAATTATACTGTATGCCTAATTGGTATTTACGTCAAATATAAAAAAAAAAATCAGAACTAGAAAAATAAACTGAATCAGGGCGAACTGTTGTAGTTAAAAAAAGTTTAAGCGATACATGCTCTTCAACGGGTACAAAACTCTCAAATCTTGTAGTATACTGGAGAATATACCCTATAATAATAATAATTGCTTTATTTAAACTTCATCCAATTTAATACAAAAAATTTGATATGATGATACAATACAATAGGTACATAACATATAATAATTAGTTCATCTACTAATACTACCACCTTACAATGTGAAGATCAAAGAAACAATTTTGAACTAAAGAAGTACAATATAACATAACATGACATATCTTTTCATTTGCATCATTAGCCCCTCAAGTATTCTTTAAGTCTCCCCTTGAAGAATCCAATGGTTTGCAAGTTTTTTATGTCATTGGGCAACGCATTGAAAATTATTAACCCCTTATGATATACTGCTTTCTCAGAAAGCGATTTATTCTTTTTTGCAAGATAAAAATTGTCTCTGTTTCTATAGTTGCATAGTTGTGAATGTCCCCAATAGTGATCGATTAATTTGTCAGGTGTAATTCCATTTTTTATTTTATAAATAAAGATCATTGTTTGATACTTGACAAACCCTTCGACAGCTGGCCAATCCAACCCTTTCAGCAAGTCAACTATAGGTGTGTCCATTCTTTTCCTCAATATTATATGCATAGCTCTTTTTACAACTTTTGCAGGCGATTCATCCCATTTTTGATGGCAGTGGATAGAATTGTAGCACTATACACAAAATGAAGTAAGATCAGGGTATTATATATTGTAATTTTGGTCCAATTAGATAATGAGGACATTCTGGATATTTCTTGATATTTTGTCAATGATGTACAGGATATGTTCTTCAAATTTAAGAGATTTATAAATAATAAACCTCAAATACTTGATCTTCTGAACCACCTCTACACTCTCAGTAACTATTTTTCAGTATATTTAAATCATACTGATTATATTCATGCTGAATCCTGTTACCTCCAATCATAATTAATTTCGTTTTTCCAACATTTAGCTTAGGCATACTTATTATCATTGACCACAAATGAATTTGCTGAAGATCCAGATCTATTGCATGCATCAGGTTAACTAGGTCTTTTGGAAAAAAATTGTGCAAATTTTGGCTCGCGCTGTAAGTCCAAAAACACAGCTCCTACAAGTCCTACAGCATAATCATCAAGAAGATTTTTCAATTCATACAGAATATTTTGTACTGCTGTCTCACAACTCAATCCCTTTCTAATCCCCGACTAACTCGGAGACATTATCTGTCGCCAGAAGATTTATTGGTCTAAAATCACCTGCGTTTATAGAAGCCCTAATTTTTTGAACTGGAATTATTGTTGATGTTTTTAACATACATGGTAATTTACCAGTTTCTAAAGAAGAGTTTATTAAAATCAAAAAAGGGTGTTTCATGTTGTGGTATGTTTTTAAAAAAAACTCTTCTGTTGTATTGTCTGGACTTCCTTTATTCGGCAAGGAGGTAATGATGCTGTTCAACTGATTGAAATCTATCAACTTAAAAGAGTTGAAACCGGCCATTACATTGAGACGTTGGAGTGGGGCTAAGGTTATCATGACCCTTGTCTATATGTGAAATTATGGTTTCTGTTTCTATGCTGTTGACAAAATATACAATATATTTAGATTTTCGGCTATATCTGTGGGGTTGGTTTGTTTTTTTTTAGTTTTATCTTTAATAGGTTGACCCAATGTATCCCACATTTGTTTGAGATTATTCTTTGCCATGTCAATTTTCTTGCGGTAAAAAACTTCCTTCTCTTTCCTCATGATTCCTACTACTGCATTTCTACATTCTTAATAATATTTTCTACCATTTTTTACTCTTTCGTTATACCACTCTCTATAGTTCTGTTCAATTATCAGTTTTTGGAGCATCTTTGTTCAAAACACCCAATATATTATTATAAAAATAAAGATACTTAGCATTTATATCATTTGAGATCTGTTTTGTAGTTCCACAAGGTATTTGACAATTCAATATTCACATGTTGGTAATCTATTTTACCTCTTGTACATACAGTTACTTCAACCCAATAATGGTTTTTATAATATGATCACTAATATGGGGTATTTCCATAACTTGGCACTTAAAGATACCAACTTTATTGTTGGATAGAACTAAATCTATTAAGCTACTGCTTCTTTTGTAGGGTGAGTGACTAAATTGACATTCTATGTGAAACCTGTATCATCGACAACCTTCTTCAATCTCAACGAATATCTATGTATCCTCAGTCAATCAATTAATACTGAAGTCTCCCATTATAAGAAGATGACTCATGTCCTCCAGATGCGTCACACCAACCTTCAAAAATTCAGAACAACTTGCACCAGGAGAACGATACAAATTATCTATCACGTAAATCCTGCCACAAATAGAGATTTTCAAGACAATAAACCAATAGGTAGCTTTTTTTACATACATATTGTAATGAATGTGAATCTTATTTTTCACAGCCGTAATAGACCTATCTATTTTACCAGACAAAGAGGTAATAATACGAAAACTTAATTAAATAAAAAAAGACATAGAACGCTCATTGCGCAAGACGAGGCAAAACGTACCAAATTATGTTAGACTTACGTATAGCAATCCGTCCTTCTTATTTGCACAGGATAAAAAGAAAAGGAGAAAAACCGCATGTTGTGCAACGTATTTGTCAATGAAAATGTCAATCAACTTTTGAATGACATTTGCCAAGTTGAATATTAATTTTAGATTTATTCTTATCAGACCACGTGCAATGAACAAGGATAAAGAGATGCCCAGCGTGCAAAACGATCACCTGACACCTGTATTAGCTAGCCAATAAAAAGACATCGCCTCGTGTTGCGCGCGCATACCAGGTAAAAATAGATAGGTCTATTTAGACCTGTTCAAGAGTTTGAAATAGAAATACATACAGGGTGATTCAAAAGTAAGCGGCAAACTTTCGGAGGCGTATTCCTTCCATAAAAATAAGACAAAAAGTTCCTATTAACAGGGTCCGGAAATGCTTCCTAAGGGAGTTACGCCCCTTCGAATAGGACACCTGAAAGACGTATTTTTCTCTATAACTTTGAAACCCTTGACAAATGGATGTTGAAAATTGGTGTATTTCATAAACATTTGATGGCAATGGCAGCAAATATCCAGTTAAGTTCTCAAAAATTTTGTAGAGGGCGCGAGAGAACTTGGAGTTCTTCAAATTTTGGCGGTAAATGTCAATAGTTTTGAACCGTTTAAATTGAGTAGAAGGAAAGATGACTACAATATGAACAATGGACAATGAATAAGCTAAAATATCTTCCAAAGCATTCAGTGGCCCTTAGAGAATGTTTTTACAAGTGTCAGCGTCAGCTTGTCTTGAAACCACACATCAGACTTAACTTTTGAGGTTAAAATTACAATCAATTATTTACGCGCCAAAATTTAAATAGCTCCAAGTACAGAAGCGCCCTCTTCAACTCAACTATCAATATTACATGCCATTAACTCGTCAGGTTTTTGCGATTCTGATTAAAAATTCAGAAAGTTTACAGTTTTTTTATACAGAAAAGGTATTCTTTGTTCAATTCGATACAACGTACCGTTTACGAGAAAATTGACTTTAAAAATTTTTTGATTTGCGTATGTTTCGCAAAAACCTGACGAGTAAAAAAAAAAACAACAAGTCACGCTGTCTTGGAGCTGCTGGAATGTATAGCAGAGACATTTAAGAGGGGGCATTATGCATGTGTCACATGCTGCGACCTCAAAGGCATTTGACTGTGTCACTCATTGTACTCTTCTGGACAAGCTTGGGGCTTATGGTGTCAATGACTGCAGTGTCAATGCGCTGAAGCACCACTTGGAAGACCGTACACAAATCACATCATACAAGGTTTGGAGTGGCCCAAGGCTCAGTTCCTCTGTTGTTCCTAGTCTACATAAACGATGTGAACCGCTCCATACCTCTTTCCAGAGTGTTGCTGTTTGTGAATCATACTTCTGTCCTAGAGACGGATATGGAGGTTGGTTACCTGATAACAACAGATGAATCGCAGTGTAGATAACCGAAAGAACTGGTTTTCTGCTAATAAACTGGCATTAAATCACAGCAAAACTGAGCGCATCCTTTTTGGACTGAGAGAGATTGAGGAGAACGTGGAGGAAGTAAGGTTTCTTGGAGTGTACATTGAGCCAACATTGAGGTTTGAATGACACGTGGATCAGATCTCCATTCGCTTGTCCAGAAACATCATTTTGCTCAAAAACCTCAAACAAGTGCTGCCCAAGGTTTCCCTTCTCCAGACATTTCATGGTATTTTTCAGTCAGTGGCTTTTTATGCTATCTTGATGTGGGGGCACGCACCAAACTCATCTCGTATTTTTGGCTTGCAGAGAAGAGCAGTCAGGGTGATCACAGGCCTGGGCTACAGGAACAATGTAAAGAGTACATTTTGGCGAATGGGTGTAATGACTGTTCCCAGTCCGTACATTTATGAGTGCCTTTTGTACAGTCACAAGAATCTGGGTTAATTTCATGACAATGATTCGTATTATGACTACCCGACCAGACAGGGAGACCTGATACGAATAGATGCGCCTAAATTTTACAACAAAATACCTAGTCATGTACCAGAGATGCCTCTAAATTCGTTTAAAGTTAAAATAAAATAACTAGTTATTAGGAATGCCTTTTATAGTTTACAAGAGTTCCTCGATGGTGATTATAATTTATCATTTCAAAGTATAATAGTGTACCTACTATAGTTTTTACACCTCTCTAATTTGTATTCTATCGCTAGAAACAAGTAGAGTAATTTCTTTGATGTAGGTAAACATTTTATAATTCTAATGACAAAATGAATAAACTTTGAACTT